TCAAACATTTCGAACGCAACCCTGGGCCCTGGCCACAGGAAACGGCATAAAACATCTCGAATACCTTACTGGCCACACGAAACCACATGAAACATCTTTTAGTACCACGCTGAAACATCTCGAATACCACGAAACCACCGCTGCAGAAAGCGCGGGGAATCCCGAACCGACTCCGCAACCTGCTCCGGAACCCGCTCCGCTCTGGAATCCGGAACCGCTCCGGAACCCGCTCCGGAACCCGCTGCGGAACCTGCTCCGGAACCCGCTCCGGAGCTCCCTCCAGAACTCGGTCCGGAACCCGTTCCAGAACTCGCTCCGAAACCCGCTCCGGAGCTCCGGAACCCGCTCCGGAACCCGCTCCGGAACTCGCTCCGGAACCCGCTCCGGAACCCGGTACGGAACCCGCTCCGGAACCCGCTCCAAAACCCAAGGGCTGAAGACCCCATCGCTTCGTTGTCGGGGAAAAAATCATAATAAGAATCTAATATCATTTAATATCAAAAAAGAATTTCAAATAAAATTAGAGCGGAATCAAGAGATTAGATTGAAATTTCAAGATCATAGAAATTATGAATAAATACGAATTAGCAAGATATTATATATATATATACAAATTAATATATGAATATTCGAAGCCATTCTAAGTAATACTATTGGCTAAAATATTATTATGGAGCTGGGAATTCAGATTTCTTCGATTCTTGATTGATTTTCGACCAAGATATTAGAGCTCGTATCATATCCTCGCAACCCAGCGATGATAAGTCCTGCCCAGCCAATGATTTCTCCAAATGATAAGGCACCTCCAAAAAGGGCTTAATCAAGCCCAGCTATTCATGAGCCCAGACACGGCGCGCGAGAGCTTTTCATATCTTTCAATTTGATGCCCAATCTAATTGATTACGGGACTCATATATTTATACTGGCCTATTTTGGGCACATACGGTTTTATGAGATAACGATAAAAAAATAAACCTATTAGATACCACTTCCACAGGTCTGTCTCTGGATGAAACTTCAGCTCTCCGTGCAGTCCTCCTGGCACGACACTGGCGAACTAGCTGGAGATAAATATTCCAACCACGGGCGTCCTCTGCGCCGGACCAATGCCTCTGGAAAAACTTTCGCCCCAAGGTATGAAATTTATAAGTCGACATTCATGTCACGAAATTGAGGCTTTGACTACTGGCGAAGCTCCACGAGTGCCGGATCATAATATAAAATATTCCATATGGATAACGCCCAAGATCTAGCTTTTGAGCACAATACCTACCTAGCGTTGAAATCTGAATTATAACTGTGCTGAGCATGGACCTAATGACGCATCGTGGTAGCTTGGGGTCCGAGCTGAGCTGATGAAGGCTGGGTCTCCGCCTCTCGAATGTAAGAAGGGCCTGGGAGGGCTGAGGTGCCATGCTGCCTCCAATATCCAAAATCCTTGATATCTTAGAAATATAAAAAGCGATGAAGCATAAAAATTAAAAAATCTAAGAATCTCCCATCTTCCGCGTGCGCCTCGTTGCCAGCTATCTTTTCATACTCCACAGCAGCCTGGAACAAATACCCCTGGAAAATGCATTCAGAATAATACAAAGTTCCTGCAACATCTGCTTTGCCCGGAGCGCCCCACCGAAAAATGCCCGAAATAATCGTCAGCCTCCAATTAGGCTATTAATCGCAGAATTTTCTATGCTGAGGGCATGCTCATAACGAGCACAATTACAGGCGCATGATGGCATATGGCTCACGCACAAGAACTATCCTAAAAATATATTATGAGTATTAGAATTTATTGATCTTCTCCTTCAATTTCTAGACAAGGAGCATCCAGCACTGGAGTTCAGGGTCGGTTGTGCAATTATAGGTGCCCTTCTTCGGAGATACGAGCTCGCGGTGCAAAGTTAATGCGTTCACAGAGCTCATTGCTGGAATCGGTATTCTCGGGGCTCGGAAATTCCTGTGGATCGCAAGCGACTGCTGCAAACTGCCGCGGCAAACTATAGCCGGTCCAATTGCTGCTGCTGCTGCTGGTTGCTAGCCACTGATAGAAATTGGTTCTTTTATGATGCACTGCCACTCCTATTGTCGTTGCTAAGCAACTCCCCCCTAATATTGAAAGCTTTCCTAATATTAAAAAATTATTTTTGGAATCTCAATCAGAATATATATATATATATAGACATATATATATATATACTCTTTCTTTATAAATTATGAAAATCAAAACTACTATAAGGACCATTATGAAGGAATTTTTAGAATTATTAGGGAGATCCAAAAAATTGATATATTGCAATCGAAGGATTATTAGCTAATATTTACTCGATTTCATATCTATCCTAGACCCTAAAATTGATTTGGGAAACGACACCGCGGCGGTGCTAATATTTCTGCTATTGATGTTGCTAACTATATTCTGCAAAGCACTGGTGCTGCTGCTCCTGCACGACTGTTTGCGGTATTATTACAAGCGCTCCAAATCACGAGGTATTCTCGATTACCAAATCTTTACTCTTAAGGAAGACCCGGAGAACTGGCCGAAAGGCCCGACGTAGCGGCTGCTGCCGCTGCTGCTGTTGCTAGTGCTTTTGCTGCTACTGCTTCTTACATCTTGTGCTTCTGCTGCTACCATCTGCTATTGCAAACTATAGCAAAACCACGTCCGTGCTTCTGCACCTGCTGCTGCTACTATTATTGGCGCAAACTTCCAAGAAATTCAATATTGTGTCCTGCAGACTAGTGGTGGAGCATGCAGAGCCAGACCTCAATAAGATAAAATTTATTTTAGAGAATCGCTGCAGGATTCAATAGAATTACAATTTCGCTGAACAAGTCGTGATTCTTCTTATGGACTTTCTATCTGCTATAGGAGATTCTCAAATTTCGTACCTGCGGCCATATACCTTCGCATACGTCATCAAACGAAGACATATAATAATGAAAGAGGTTGGAATACAAAATAAACGACCACAGCCCTGGATATGAAGCAGCTCGATTTGTGGAGTTTAGCAGGAGTCTCCGAATATTCTCGCCCTGAGGTGTTATGAACCTGAAATTCTAGATATATAAAGACCATAAAATATCTAAAAGTAGTCATCTATCGAGAGAATTATAATTATCTAGAATCCTATGGAATCCTAACGAGCGACTTCTCGCGCAAAGATATATTTTGCTGGGCAATATCGCTGCCTCTAAATATTCTCTGCTGTATCTAAATAGTCTATATAAGTTATATCTCGCCCAAGCCCAAGATTTTATTACGAGGCAGGAGTCCCCAAGCAACAAGCAAGCGACCCTTGCTTGTTCTAGTATACAGATTCTATTTCAATTATTTTTTTCAGAATACTGAATTCGATTTTTTCTATTAACCATATCTATTTTAAATAGATCACAGAATCATATTAAACCGAAATATATAATGCTCTCCATAATAAAATATACTCTTTTCAAATCTACTCCATGCGATAGAAACTCCAAGTTTATTTATGAAACGACTAATCAATTAATTTATAAAAATTATAATGCTATATTGCTTCTATACGATATCAATAATTAATATATAAAGAATTACAACAATAAAATTCTAAGAATATAATACTTTATTTTTTTAGTCTAGATTTCAAAAAATCCTAAAATGAAAAATATATCAAATAATCAATTATCTAGAGGAAATATATATTTTCTATTTATAATATTTTTGAATTTCAAATCATATATTTTATATGATATATTTATTCTTTCTGAAAAAAATTAATCGGAATTCTAAATTCAAGTTTTCAAAAAAATATCTATATTATCGATTAATTATATAATTATATCTTCAGCCTTTATAGTCTGTTAATTATTTTGTAAATCTAGCATAATCTAGCAGTATCTTTGGGGAATACGGCAAATTCTTATCCGATCAGTAATAAGTGAAAATAACAGATATTATAGGTATTTTGGTCTAGAAAGCCTACTGCATAAAGGGGCAATTGAGAAGAAGACATGTCTTCATATTGAAGCCACATGAAACCTGACCTTCAAACGGCTCGGGGGCATGGGTTGCAGACGCTATTCACTGCCCGTTTTGAGGTTCAGCTTCCGGCGAACACATTCAGCATTTCCTACGATGACAATCACGAGACTGTCCATCCAAAACTATTCGACGACACCTCGCGTCTGTTTTGAAAAAACGGATCTCCTGCCTGAACACCGCGTTGGAGATCCATGGCAGCAGACAGGAAACCCAGGGTGCCGACATCCATGTAAGAACATCTTACTATGCACGGCTCATGGTAAACTAACCTCGTCAGCTTCAGGCTCTAGCCTAGTTTATTACAGCGTTCGTTGCTGTCCTCACCCACGGCCCTCAGTGCAAGGGAGCTGCCGGCAAATTAAGCATTGACGACCTTGCCGTAGAAGATGCCCTTCAGCAGCACAGTCCTGCCAAGCCCCCTATTGACTGCGGCGAGCCCAACATGCCATTCTTGGCCACCCTGTGGGTATGCAAATCAGCTTCTCTTCGCCTCCCTTTCTCCAAGTCTTGGAACAGAAGCTACAACCTTTGCCAAAAGTAAGGACGAACAACTTCCTTTCAGGCAATAACCCAATAACCCAATCCAGAATGCTCTCTCTGAAACTGACACTTCACCATTGCCGCCATGGCCTGGGGGCTTTGGCGCCCATGTCGGTGTCGGAAGGCTGCTTGGACACGAAGACGCCGCCGATCTCACCGAGCTCCTGGTTCACCTCCCAGAAACTTTGAAACGGCTGTCGAACCTGCGGAATCCGTGCAGCCTGAGAAAGCTAGAACGACAAGCAACTAGCTGAGAGTTGTATTCGGTGATTCCGGAACTCATCTTCCACTCTGTACGCACTCGACGGATACCCCTCATCCCTGGAATCTCAAACTCAGAACAAGCATACCGGGTGTACGCTGACCACGGTAACAGCTGGTGTGCAGGACTCACAATTGCGATTGCGGAAAGCAGGTAAGCAGGTGCCCATGCCTTGTTGACCTCCATCTCGATGACGCCCTTGCCGAGGTCGAAGACCTTGTTTGTCTCCTTGAAGAGCTCGTCCTGGCCGCCCTGACCATCGGACTGCATGGCCGGCAGGGCCACGGCCTGATCGTAACCCAAGGTCAT